TTTCTTCAATATGATATTAGCTGTAGACTTTTTGTAGGCAATTTTATCAAATTGAAAAAGTTTGCCTTTATTTGTAGTATGTTCACAGCTCTTATCATGAATGGGCGGTAGGTTTTGTCAAATGCCTTTTCTGTATTGATTGATATGATCATGCATCTGACCAGTGCAGCCAAACTAGCAGGTTCCTTCAAGGGGTGATGGGAGATTGGAAGATATAAGACCCCCACACACAGATCTTGAAGATAAAACAGTTGGGATTGGTTGGAGAGCTGCTCTCTGATGGAGAAACAGGTCTAATGAATTACACCAGCAATCTTTATTATATATGTCTCATTAATCAGATTAAAGACTATGCAAACATTATTCTTTGTATCCATGAAAGTTACTGAGTTAGCAATGGTAGGCAGCTATTTCCTCAATTACATTCTACAGTTACAGTGGGCAATGTTAGAAGCATTGTGTAGCTCTCAAAGAACTCCATTGTTTAAAGTTACTAGTTTGGGAGTGGAACTGGTGAAACATTGTGGTTGTCTTAGCAAAAAAGTTCCTTCATTCCCAGGAGCCGTGTGTCTTAGAGCAAGGTCTAAGCTGATAAGACTCTAGCAATAGAGTCTTCCCCTGAAGACTATACCTTTCCACAAAAACTACAACTGGGCATCCTACACCTTTCCACAAAAACTTTCCCAATCACCAAGCATGCCACAGTCATGAAGTCATCAGAGACCCCAATCTCAGACACTGGTCTCCCGATCACTGTCACCACTCTCCACAATCATGTAAGATTTTCTTCCTTACTCGTTGATCTGACCTTTATCCATATTTATATACTGAATCAGTCTTCTATACATGAGATAAGACTCTCTTGGTCATGGTGTATAATTCTTTTTATACATTATTGACTTCAATTTGCTAGTATTTCATTAAGGATGTCCATGTTAGTATTTATGAGAGATGTTGATGTGTAATTTTTTTTCCTTCTTGTAACATCTTTGTCTGATGTTGATATTAGTGCTACCATTATAGCATAAGATAGAAGGCAATCACCCTACATCAATCTTATGTAATAAATTAGAGGAAACTGATATAATTTATTACCCAAATATTTGGTAAAATGTACCAGTAAATCAATGTATGTCTGGTTTTTGTTTTGGAAGGTTATTAATTATTGATTCAACTTTTTTAATTGCTATGGATATAATTCCAGTGGCAGAGTGCTTGTTTATCCTGGGTTTGACTCCCAGAACTGCAAAAAAAGAAAAATTCCCTTCATTGATGTAGACTCAGCAAATTATTAATTTCTTCTGTGTGAGTTTTAGCAAACTGTGTTTCTCAAGTAATAGGTGCATTTCATGTCAAATTTGTGGGTATTCAGTTTTTTGTAGTTATCCTTTATTATTTTTTGAATGTCTGGAGGAATATGTGGTGATAGTCCTTTCATTATTTATATTAATAACTTCTGTTTTCTCACTTTTTTTCTTAGCTTTGCTAGAGTTTTATTGATTTTATTGATCCTCTCAAAGAGACAGCTTTTAGTTTTGGTATTGTCAGATTTCCTGTTTTTAAATTTCATTGATTTTTTTTACTTTTTTATTAATTTACTTCAGCTTATTTTGTGTTTCATTTATTTATTTTTCCTATGATTGAAGCATGGAGGTTGATTTTTGATCATTCTTCTTTTCTAATATAGCCAACAATACTATAAATTTTCTTTTTTATTGGTTCTTTTTAGTTATATATGACAGTAGAGCCAATTTTGATATAGTTATACAAGCATCAAATATATATTATTCTAATTAGGATCCCAGTCTTGTCCTGATGGTGAGATTCACTGTGGTGTGTTCATGTATGTACATGGGAAAGACATTTAAGGTAACAATTGATGCTAGTGAATCAATATGTATTATATTTGTTTCTATATTCTACTTTTTGTCCTTGTTGTTTATTCCTCTTTTTGACATCCACACTTTTCTAGTCTTTTGTAGTTACTTTTTTATCCCTGGTACCAGAGATTGAACTCAGGGGCGCTTAACCACTGAGACACATTCCCCAGTTTTGTTTTGTTTACATATTATTTAATCTAGAGACAGGGTCTTGTTAAGTTGCTTAGGGATTTCCTAAATTGCTGAATCTGACTTTGAACTTGCAATCCTCCTGCTTCAGCCTCCCAAGTAGGTGGGATTATAGATGTGCACCACTGTACCCAGCTTCTTTTGCAGTTTTAAATGGGCACTTTATATGCTTTCATTTTTTCATTTCTTGTGATATCAATTGTACCTTTCTTTGTAAAATTTTACTGTAGATACTCTAGAGTTTGCAATATACATTTACAATGAGTCCACATTTTTTCCAAATGATACTATTTTTTACTTTAAAATAACAAGATATTTCTAATTGTATCATTTCTATTATTCATTTCACTTAAATACAGGCATATATACTAATATCTAAAGACATAAGCAAATAGCTCAACCAAGAATGAGAGTGTTTTATTTTTTTTAACCTTCACGTATTTGTTCTCCAGTGCTCTTCCTTTCTTCATGTGCCTCCAAGACTCTGCCCTGTATCACTTTACTTCTGAAGAATTTTAACACTTCTTGCAAACAATGTCTACTGGCAACAAATTCCCTCAGTGCAGGTTCTGAAAGTCTGTTTCTCCTTCACTTTTGAAGTCTTGTTTTGCAGAGCATAGAATTCCAGTTTAGTCCCTTTTAAAATCTCATAACTTTAAATATTTTACTACCCTCTCTTCTGGCTTGCATTGTTTCTGAGATTTCTGATGGAATTCTTATCTATGCTTCTCCATAGGGAAGGTTTTTTCCCCCTGAGTTTCTTCAAAAACTTTTTCTTTATCTTGGTTTCCTGAAGTTTGTATAGATATTTGCAGGGGTGGTTTTGTTTTGCTTGTTTTTTTTTTTTTCTTCTTGAGCCTATAGCTTTTGTGGTAATGTGCCTGACATTAATTTGGAAGAAATTCTCAACCATTAATGCTTCAAATATTGCTTTAGTTCTTTTCCTTTTTTTTCCTTTCTTCTTTTTCATATACTTTAATATATATTTTTTTAATTTTGTTTGTTCTTTTTAGATATGCAGTAGAGTTTATTTTGACATATTTATATAAACATGTTAGGATCCCAGTCTTGTAATTATATATGATGTGAAGATTGACTGTGGTGTATTTATCTATATACACAGGAAAGTTGTAGCAGATTCATTTCACTGTTTTTCATATTTCTATCGCCCCTCCCTTCCCTTCATTCCCCTTTGTCTAATTAATACCTATTGTAGTTGTTCCACAATTCTTTCATATTCTGCTGTGGCTTATACAGTAATTTTTCCTCTTTGCTCATCTGTTTTGGAATTTTCTATTGTCATATTTCAAAAACAGGGATTTCAAGAACAGGGATTCTTTTTTTTTTCATTCCATTTCATTCATTTAATATGTTCACTACTCGGCCCATCAAAAGTATTCTTCATTCATGTTAGAACATTTCTTAATTTTTAGCGTTTTGTTTTGATTATTCCTAGAATTGTTGCCTTTCTGCTTACATTACTCATCTATTCCATTATTTTGCCTAAATTTTCTATTAGAACCCTTACCATATCAACGATAATTTTCTAAAATTCTTGATCTGATAATTCCAATATTCTTACCATGTCTGATCCTGGTTAAGACATTTGTTAATCTCTTAAAACATTACTTTTTACCTTGCAATATAGATTGTAATTATTTATTGAAAGACCGACAGGAGGTATTTGGTGAAAAGAACTGCAGTAAATAGGCCTTTATTAACATAGTGGTCAAGTGGGTGGGATCAGGGCTAGCTTTCCACAGTTCTTGATTAGGTCCCAGTGTTTGGGTGAGCCTTTGTCTCTGGAACCTGAACTTCTCCAGTGCTTCTGTCTTCTCCTCCCCTTAGGTGGGACAGTCTGCCTGCAAGTATGTATTTCTCTTCCAACTAGAATGGTGCAGGGGGAATGGAGCCTGAGCTAGCATTTCCCTTTTTCCTGGGGAAAGCTATAGCTGACTAGAATTGAACACTTCCCTTTCCCCCAGGTCAACTAGGCTGTGATATAACACCAGGTTATGATCTGGTAGAATAGTTTCTCTTGAAGGCAGGCTTTGTTAAGAAAAAAAAAATGCTTTGTTCTTCCTTTTGCTGGAAATGTGGGGAGATTTTTCTTATATATTTTCTGAGAGGACCTGATAGAGTTTCCTGTAGGTTTAACTGGGAAAATTACATAGGTCCCCTCATGTCCAAATTTCCTTGGGGATTTTACCTCTCAGCGTTGTTCACACTGAGCCTCCAACAATTTGTCAATTATAGTTTAGAGTTTCCTACCTTGACACTGATTCCTATAGAGATTTCTTCTTGGGGGGTGGTCTCTGATCTTGTAAGTTGTGAATCTCTTTATCAGTCTTTTCCAAGTTTGAGAAGAATGATTTTCCATGTGACTTTTCTTTTCTGATGGATCAAAGAATTATTCATTTTTCATTTTTCAGTTTGTTCAGTTTGTTAGCCGTTGTTAGGTTTCAGGATAAAATGGAAA